GGGGGGGGAAGCAATGCCTTAGTTTCTCAGCATCCAGACGTTGGCGTCAGTTGGTGATACTGCTGTGAGATCGCGGATCAGCACATAACTACAGAGCGAGAAGCGACAGCCAAAACTGAATGAGCTGGGCAAACGTTGGCGGTATCAGACGGCTTTTCTTCCGCCTTCTCCGGCAGTTTGGTTCACTTTGAAAACATCCCAGCGAAAAAAACAAACACGGCCTGAGAAGTCATCATCGCAATCTTCGAACCTATCTACCACAAGTGGCTTCGGCAAACTATTCAGCTGCCCCCAGTCGCTGAACGATAGCCCATCTCATAGCAGCGGTGTTTCCCCTCCAGTTACTTTTCTGCATGTTGTCGTATGACAGAGCATGGGACAGCTGCCTCGAGACTGAAAACCAAACCTCCACAGTACTCCACCAACCGGACCATTGCTCTCCACCAACCATCAGCCCAGTGGTCCTCTCTTACCACGAAGAACAACAGTTTTTCCTTCCCCTCGTCCGTCATCCCGGCCAAGCACGCCTCCTCAAGGACGTTAACGATCGCGGCGCGTAGCAGTCGCGCGTCGCTTGCCTCCTGTTTTCGAACCAATCCAAACATGATCATCAAGGAAAGGGCATGGAGGGTTGAGATCGGTTTTGTTCGAGCTACTTCTGTGAAGCGAGCCCCGTAGCAAGCACGTAGGACCGGGGGGGGCCCGCAGGCGCTCATGAACACGATGATCGCTCCCCGCCCTGCGCGCCGGAGCCTGAAGAAAGCGAAGATAAGCGAGACAAGCGAACCAGAGCGGTTGCGGTACTGGCGTTTGTCCTTACCAGCGGCCAACATGAGATGCAAGGCAGAATACTCTCGGTACACACCTTGAGCATGTAGCAGTTCTCTCGCACCCCCGGGACCCCGAAGGTCCCCGTTCCTGTTCCGATGGCGTACACCAGTTTGTCGTAGGAGAGCTCCATCAGAAGCCTCGCATCGTCGGGGTTCACCGGTCGCTGCCGATCTTCCCGCTTGTTTTGCTGCCAATTCAACCCTGCCGTTGCGGCTTCTTTCCGGTTGCCCTTCGTGTACAGCGGGGGGGGCAAAGCGCCGGCACTTTCTATGGCTTGAGGTGGGTGTTGCTCTCGTGGACAAGGGAGGGCTTACACCACCTGCCATACACATTCGCGCATGTACATGCAAGGGCAGACACAAGCAACCAAAACGTGGCAACGGGACTAGAGAAGCGAGAGTTGAAGTCGTTGCCTGGAAACAATATGATGCACACACACACGCACGCACACCTGGATAGAACTCGGAACTGCTTCAATGTTAAGGACACAACAGAGGGTGCCCGAAGGGAAGCGAAACATGCACGACGACGAACACGGTAAAGCACGAGGATGCACATCCATACTTATCTCGCATCAAACGTCGCACACATCTCACAAAACACACAAGGCCGGTATCCTAAATCGCTAACTCTGACTATCTTGTCTCGGGGGAAGATGTCGATGGCCTCCCCGCTCACGTATGAAACGCAGGGGTTGGCCATCCTGATCGGTTCCATCATGGACCTTACATCGACGGTGCCGACGGCCGAGGCGGCCAGCATCGGGGTGAACACGAAGTAGTTACGGGGCGAGACGTAGATCACCTCGTACACGTCACTGTCGATTACCTTGGCCTCACAAGTAAATTACGAAAGAGGTAGCAGGGAACCGCGATAGGTGTCTCAAAAGTTAGGCTTCAGTAATGAACCCAGCCTGCGTTCCTTGGCCTTTCATCTTCAGACTCTTGTCGTCAGTCGTTCGAAGAAACACAACAGCAAACGTGTGTGCACTCCTCGCCCTTCCCCGCTTGCACGTCCGTGGCGTGTAAAAAATGCCCGAACGACAAAGCACAAAGCAATAGAATGCCTCTCGATCGTTTCGCAAAAGCTACACCAGCAAGCCCGTGACCGCCTACAAGCCCCTTGTTAAAGGTGATGTGATTTGGCAACGGTCAAATGCTCAAGGCAAGCAACAATAATGCAGCAATGTATTGCAGGTAACAACAAAATACAGTAGTAACCACGAAATCGTGACACTTTCAACCGCTTCCATCCCCGTCGCTGATAGCGTGATACCCCAGGACAGACGATTATCTCTCCACAACGCATGATCCACATGGCTATAAAAAGCATGCTGTAGAAAGCACTACAGTTGCGGCTTCGACTTCACCAATAACAGCATACCCTTACACGAGCGTCCAAAGGGCCCCCATTCTCTTGGTTAGACCGAAAATGGCATGCCAATCCGGGAACTTGCAGCATTCATTCCTTTGTTCGACCCTGAATGCCGTGAATGAAACCAAGCCCGGAGAACTTGATTGTTGTGTCTGGCAGTGGCCAGACAGCGATATAAACATACCTTGCTGGTGGCGTGGCCATGCCCAGCACGACGATCCGCTCCTTCTTGGTGGCCGGCAGCCACGACGGATCCTCGATGCCGTCAGTGGTGAGCGGCAGATTCATCTTGGCGGCCGGCATGAAGGCGCGTGAGGGGTGCGTCAAGATATCTTGGGCCGTGTCGATCGCCCGATCGGCAACAGCCAGCACGTCTTCGGGGCTCACCTGCGCTTGTACGGGCGACAGTGGCAATGAAGGTGAAGGCTGATAATTTGTGGGCGATAAACATACAGGTGAATTTTATACATACATGTGCATTCTAATACGAAGTGAAAAGGGCGCGGAAGAGAAGATGTGTCATTTACTGCGGGGGACAATCGCGACATGACTGTTTGCATTGATCTTCTGGCACACTGGAAAAAAATACTGCGCGCGTGGTGCTTACCTGAGCACGGAAATCTTTCTAAATGCGATCACTTGTGCTGCTGATGGAATTCACGGAAGGAACTAAAGCAAAGCCCCAAGTAGGGTAAAGCGTAAACGCCGCATAGGAAACCAGAGGCACACGAAGGCGTAGAAAACCAAGGGCAGAGAACTCTACCATCATCAGCGCAAAAATAGAAAACAGCAGCACTTCCCACTCAACCTTAATACGGCGCTTGGGTGAGGGAACGAAACGAACATACTGGGATCGACCGACGGACGGCGGTAGTGCACTATACTGCCTTAGAAAGCAATACTCTTTCTCATCCCCGTCTGTACGTGACGTCAAATAAAGCCATCGAACCGAATGATCGTTGATGTGCGAATACACATAGCAGCCTTCGGCTACGTCTTTGGGCTCTTGTCTAGCTCAATAAGCCTGCTGCCTGATATGTTCTTTCCTTTTCCCCCAGCCTTCTCTCGCGCTCCGTCACCGTGCAGGACTTGATACGCCTTCGTTCTCCTTCCATATCTCTCACTTTTCGCTTGCGATTCACATTTTCGTCTTTCCGCGCTGGCATTGACAGATATCGCAGCGGCCGCCCGAAATCTCCTGGAAAATCCACTACACGCGTGAGGCTGCGTGCTGCAGCAAGTGGCCGCAGGGCATTTCATGGGCCACAACGGCTATGCACGGGGGTTCGACACGTGTGTATCATTGATGCTGCACTGCGCAGTCTACACGTGTACGGCGCGGCTAATTTCGTCGCGTCGTGTCGGATGATTCGATAGACCTGCGTTTCGGCGCATTTTCCGTTTCCCGTTTTGTGCTTGATCGTTTGGTCTACCGTCTACAGCTGTGCGTCCTTTACTGCTGCAGATCCGACACAAGAACGGCTTTTCATGAAACATCTGTGTGATGTGGCTGACTCGGTTTCGCACATAGCGGACGTCGAGCACCGAAAGGGTGCTGTGAGAATGCCAAAGAAAGAAGGAGGCGGTTGGCGGCTAGAAGAGAAGCGGAAAAAACAAGGAAATACTGATGTATATTCCGTGTGACAGGCCTGAGTGTCAAACGCCAAGCGTGCTATGGAATAGACTATGCATTCTGGCGGCGAAACAGAATCGATACAAGCACACAGAAACGCCAGTTGGTGCCGTCGGTGGCAAAACGGAGCCATGTTTTTTTTTTTTTTTCTCCTATCATTGGACTCTGTCGTCTGCTCCTCTAGCCCCTGTCCTCCACTTCTATTTACTAGCTAGACGACCCAACCGGGGTCACATAGGAGGGGGGTGTTGGACCCCCTCCTGTGGTTCCATGATTGTGTCCCACCGGAGAGGGGAGCCAGTATTTGTTGAATCCTACCCGCTGAATAATAGTCTACAGCGAGCCAGCTTGTAGGTCTCTACCATTGTTGATCTTCAAAGGTCAATCTGGCACATTCAGCTTCCACATGATGTCGTGCTCCTCGTTCGTTTTCGTGCCAAGAACCGGGACAAACCCAGCGGCGGCCGCTTTTCTGCCTACGCGCTCAATGACGCCGAGATCGTCGACAGCCTCGCCTTCTCCTCCAGCCGCACGCTTCGCCTGCTTCGGCGGCGGTATCCGTACCGTCATCTTCAACGAGCCTCCCGCCCTGCTGCTGGTTCTGCTGCTGCCGCCGTTGATGCTTCGAGTGTTTGTTTGAGGGATAGGATGGGGATGCCTTCAACATCGATGTCGATGGTGACGTCGACGAAACAGAAACTAACGCTTCTCCGCCATGTGCCACGTAGACAAGAGCTGCTGTGTGGAGCCGGAGAATCGCATCGCGCGCGTCCTCTCCTCAGAAAATTACAGCGAAGGCGCGCGTTTGTTGACCTTGCTCGTGTATGTTTTTGTGTGTGTTTTCGTCCTATTTATTATGGTGACAGTCCCCCCATTTTTCGTGATAAGACGTGTACTACACTTTTCAGCGTAAACAACATATTATTATTATTTTATTTGCCCTCCGACGATTGCAGATAAATGCAGACATACATAAAAAGTCGATCGTGAAGGCCGTCATGCCAAGCCAAATTAACTCGATGCCCAATAGCCAGGAATGTTTGCCTCTAAAAGTCAACAAAACTTTGGTTGAAACACTACAGCTGAACTCTAGGCACGAACCATAGATGGAGAAAAATGAACAAAACCCCAACCTCATCCACCCGAAATCAAACAAAACTCGACCGCGTCTTCTCTGGTACCCCTGACACCGTATCGAACAAAAATCCGCTTCCTACCGAAGTGGTTAGGTTAAAGCTGTCGCACGCATATTTCGGCGCGCAAAANCAGGAATGTTTGCCTCTAAAAGTCAACAAAACTTTGGTTGAAACACTACAGCTGAACTCTAGGCACGAACCATAGATGGAGAAAAATGAACAAAACCCCAACCTCATCCACCCGAAATCAAACAAAACTCGACCGCGTCTTCTCTGGTACCCCTGACACCGTATCGAACAAAAATCCGCTTCCTACCGAAGTGGTTAGGTTAAAGCTGTCGCACGCATATTTCGGCGCGCAAAAGTCTGTGCGGCATTGCTGATCGATACTGCCACCGGTCACACTAAGAGAGAAACATCCGCCGTCTTGCTCTTTCTGAGGCACCCCCCACTCAAGCCCACGTTTCCCCAGACCTCCGACACTGCCACCCCTTGTTCCTACTTGCTCGCCACCTGCAACCACAAGGGTCAAGCCCTCCCCCCTCAGCACCCCATATTGGTGAAATTGAGAGCGAAGTATGAAATTGAGAGCGAGAGCCAAAAAAAAAAATCGGGTCCAGACGCCTCTTGCCATTTCTTGGAAAGTAGGGGGGGCGGGCTCTTCCAAGAAGCGGCGCAAATTGAAGGTCTCATCAGCAGCGACACGAGCATATGCATGTCATCGTCATCGGATGCTGCAGCTAATAGGAGCTAGACAAGTGCTAGATTTCCCCAGATTGGCTATTCCTGCCTCAAACTGTTGCAGGGCGGTATGGCCCCGGGCGGTGGGCTCTGCTGAAGCTTCTGCTCGCCGCTGTAACTCCACATCGAGAGACTCCCACAGGATGACCAGGGTATCTGCTTGCAGCTACGGGCTGGCCCTTCAATTCAAGCTACACAGCAAGCTCCGCCTCTCAGCAGTAGTCCAGCTGCAGCGCATCGTGCAATCTCGCTCTCAATCAGATGCTTCGCTCTCAATATCACCTATGTTGCTGTATGTAGAGTCCGTCCGGTTAAATTTTGCCACCATCTCCTGAAATCACCTTGGGAATTGTTTTGAGTGACTGACGTACCCCCTAGTGACATAGTACTTTATATCGTAAGAAAGCTCTGTTTCCGGCGGATCGTTTGGATGGAGCAGATTTTCTTCTTTTTTTTGTTGGCGAGAAAATCACGATTCCGTGGAGATTTTGGACGATTTTGGTTAGTTTTATTTGGTCGAGTGTGAGGTCATATATTTTTTTTTAGACCGGTTTTGAACGTATCACGCCCAGGGGCTCACGGCGACACAACTCAGCTTTATTTTCGCTAATAAACAACGGAGATATGGGCAGAAAACCGCATTTCAGGTGCCCTCAGAGTTTAGTTTCTTGGGGAGTATTGAACCATACGATGTCCAAAAACTCAACGGATTCGGGCGAATTGGACCTGCACCTAGGGACGTTTTTTTTTTTTT